GCTAAGATTATTTTTGAAATATGAATGTGTTTGCAAAGAAAAGAATACTAAGCTGGAAGAATTGTTGAATATGCTTACATTTTTAGCCTATGTTATGTTTCACTTAATCATTGAGTGATTAATGTAAATATGTATTGAAACTATGGAAATAAAAACCTCGCTTGAGGATAAGAGAAAGAAAATAAAGAAGAAAAAGAAAAATATTTGTTAGTTGTTGAGCGAAGCTTACAAGATAAGCCCCCTCAAAAAAGTTTGGAAACTCAATTTTATTGATCATATCTATCTTGATACGGCATAATCATCGCTATGTTTAGTGTCATTGAAAAGTGTGTTTATTCTTATCAAAATAATACCCCATTTGTTATGATTTTTCAATCATGGAATGTGCATAAAAGATACTATGTCCTTTTTGCAGCTAACATCAAATTCTGTAGAACTTTGCAGGAATTATGAATATGTCATGTATGTCCAATCTGTGAATTTTAAACGTTAGCAGTGTCCTAAGATTCAAATTATGCAAGGAAACCTGTTTACTTGCTAGGCTTCACTGTCAGACACTATCGAAAGAATGATTGACTGGCCTTTTTTTCTTTGATATTAACATACATAAAATGAGCTGTAAAGGGTACATGAGCATTTGGCTACATCAATAACCCACTTCTTGTAATGGCCAAAATTAAACTGATTGAATCTTTGCGCAGCATAAAACGTACGACCATTCGGTACAATGGTCTAAAAAAATCAGACCATTACTTACTGGCTTTATAGCTTTTAAGTCGATTTGACAACTAATAGTCATTATTTTCCCCACTTAAAGACATTTTCAACCCCCCCCCCCCTCCCCCGTTTTTTTTTTAAGGGAAGTTCTAAATTAGTATTATCTTTCAAATGCCGTTGGAATTTAACCTTTTTTTTTTATTTGTTTGGCCTGCAAATAGGACATAGTACCTTTAAATCAAAAGTGAAAAAGTGAAAAATTGCAAAATGCACTGCTTTTGTTCGGCTGTGCATTTTGTTTTTATTGAAGATTGCGGGCTATGATGTGCAGTGTACTGTATAATAATTATATTAGTGCTTACCAGTGCTTTCCTATGCATTTTGCAACTTTTGGTAACATCGCGTATTAGTCAAAACATATTCTTTCACATGATTGGTAATAAGAGCTTCCATTTCAATTTTTTTTTTTTTTTTTTTTTTTTGGGGGGGGGGGGGGTTGTTTGTTTTCTTCTTCTTCTTCTTTTTAAAACAATAGACAAGTAATCTACATAGAAATGATCTTCCTTTCTCACTTCCCCTCTCCCCTCTCTTCCCTCTCCCGCCACTCCCCAGCTCGGCCATACAACCAGGACAACGAAGTCGGCAGCGTGGACAATAACTTTGAAATCGAGTACCGGCTCGCCGCCGTTATGCATGCGCTGGTTGACACTTGCGCCAACAGAGCCGAGAACAGCGCCCCAGACGTCGAGCAGCTTTTCGACGTCGTCTGCCTGGTTTTGAACGGGGAAGGATCGGGCGAAGGCCCAGTGGAATTAGGCACTGGGGAGGGCTTTAGAGAGCTAGGCTCGGGAGAGTTTCCCGAGGAGCAGAGCCCAAGGTGGATCTACAACTTTGATCCCATAGGTAAATATGATGTAGAATTAGGGTACGACGTTAACCATACAGTTCTGCATGAACTCAGTGAGGCCCTTATTACGCCCCCGGCCCCCCCCCCCCCCCCCCCACTCACAGGTCGGAATGACCGCATGCGTGTTGCCAAAATGTCCGGTAAAGGGGTACTTTTCGTGCGACAAAGTCCGGCCCTTTATTGTAAATAAAGGGGTGTATTTGAATTTTCACCCGAAGATTTCTTTTAAAAGGGGGTGTTTTTCTTTTATTCTCTCATCTCTTTGGACTCCTGAGAAAATATTCCGAATTTAGGGGGGTACATTGAGCATTTTTCCTGATTTAGGGGGGTCTCCAAGGCGGGAAAAGCCCGTGAAAAGCCCGCGAAAGGGGGGTTCGGAAATGTTGGCAGTCCTCAGATAGGGGGTGCTTTCAAAAAGAGGGTACGAGCATATGCGTACCCTAAATAACACTGAGTGGGGGGGGGGGCGGGATTACGCCCTTATGTTGAGAACCTTGAGGTAGCCCGTAGCTGGGGGGTGTTTCACAAAGATCCTAAGTCGAACTTATCTTTAAGTTGGACTTGAAAATTATGGCAAGCTGTCAGCATCTTCGAAAATATTAATAAAGGCATTAAATGTTTATTCAAATCATTCATATTTTCTATTATCAAGGAGATTTCATGTGCTTGATGTGGAATTTGTGAAAAGTCTAAAATACTTGAATTTTTGCTTCTAAAAATATCTAATTTGAAGGCTACACATGGCTCTCCATAATATTTAAATCCAACTTAGAGTTAAATTCGACTTAGGATCTTTATGAAACACCCCTGATGCAACCGAACCAGCTATCCCTCTGAGGCTCAAACCATTATCTGGAGCTAAATCCAAGTTTCATTCCAAAAGGAGCTAACTGATCCACAAAATCTAAAAATTTGATAAAATCAGAAATAACTGGTAGATTTTTTTTCTTATCATATATTATTGGGCCAGGGAGACACCTTTAACATAATAACAACATAAAGGTATAATTATGGCTAAAGGGAAAAAGTGGAGAAATAAAAAAGGTGATTTAGTCAGAAGTACCCAAAGTGGATTTAGCTCCTTTTGGAATGAAACATGATACTGTACCTAAAAAAAATCATACTTCCTGGTAAAATTTTAGTATGTGATATGCATTATGTCCCTATGCAGGAAATCATTATTTTAAGACAAAAAACGTCAATTTTGATGAAATATGGATTTACCTCCTTTTTGGAATCAAGCTCTTCATTTTATGAGTGTGATATTTTTGTGATCTAAGTTTTAACACATTTCTTTAAGGCTAGCCGAATATTTCGTAAAATTAGCAGTTTTTCCCGAAATAAGCTACTTTTTATAACAAGAGATGATTAAAAATAAAATCACCGTTAAAATATTAGCCTTCGTTGAATTGAATTATCCATAGCTTGTATTTGATAGAGCAAAACTTCGACCTCTTTTAAATCATGAAGATTTTTCCAAATCGATAAAACATCCAATAAATATGCACCTAATTGCACGATTACATACATCAAAAATGCACATAGCTCTCACCGTGAGAGGGGGAACCGCAAACTTAACATATTTTCCCAAAAAACTATATATAAGCGACTTTTAAAAACAAGAGATAAGTAATTCGCTCTTGAATAAGAACCTGTAAGATCCTGAGACATGGTATATCAGGCTAAGATGAAGACAAAAATGCATAATTATTATGATCAATGATAACAATAATAATAATGATAATAATAATTTAAAAAAAGAAGAAGAAAACGAAGAAGGAGAAGAACTTGAGGAGAAGAAGGAGTAAAAGAAGAAAAGGAAGAAGAAGAAGGAGACGACGAAGAAGAAGACGACGAAGAAGAAGAAGACGAAGAAGAAGAAAAAGAAGAAGAAGAAGAAGAAGAAGAAGAAGAAGAAGAAGAAGAAGAAGAAGACGAAGACGAAGAAGAAGAAGAAGAAGAAGAAGAAGAAGAAGAAGAGAGAAGAAGAAAAAGAAAACAAAGAAGAAGAAGACGAAGAATTAGAAAAATCAGAAGAAGTAAAAGAATATAATTATATTATAAGCATGTTGTTCATGTTAATTACTTAATATTTACCAGGGGTAACCACATTAGTATTAATATTTCTTTTCCTTCGGGCCCCGCAATTATTAATACCCCATCATTACTGGGCACCTGGGTCGCGAGAGATAAATGTAGGCAAAACCTCTAAGAATATCTAAGAATATTAATCCTAAAAACCGAGCAGAGATCGAAACTGGGACTTTCCGGGTCAGAGTCAAAAGCTTAGACATGTGACCCGGATGCGCATATATTTTTTACACAACTGTTTAGCCATTTTCGCGAAAAAAATCTCTGGTACTCTGGTGAAAGAGTCTAAGTCGTCAACGAACTATAATTATTATGCAAGCACGTACACCCAAGGAAGGGAGGATGATAGAAAGGGGAAAACAAGGATAGTGGAGAGGATATGGAGAAGGAAAGACATGGAAATACATAAGAAAAGAGAAGAGGATAAGTCAAAGGAAGAACATAGAAATACATACTTGAAGAGCTAAGAGGATCATCCTCTAGACTAAGGAAAAACAGGAAAATACATAAAGAAGGAGAAAGGGATCATCTATCAGATTAAAACAAAGAAATAGATGACGAAGGAGAAAAGGATAGATTAAAGGCTGGAGAACACAGAAATACATAATGAAAGAGAAGAGAGGATAAATTTAACCCGAAACAAATAACGAGTATGTACAGCTCCAGCAATCCAACAAAACTGCTAAGGGTAATTAATGCTAGACTCTGTCTCTAGTCGTTTGCACAGTATATTTGACTGAAGTGGCTAAACAGTAGTTGTGTAAAAGAAATATGCGCGCACCGGATATCAGCTTCTAATCGATTACCTCATCCTTCAAATGTATCTTACTAGTAGTTCACCACACCATCATTTTATTCATTATCTTTTGTTTTATCTTACTTCCGGTGTAGTCAAAACAGTCACATCCGACAGGATTTTCCAGCAAACCCTGAGTATGATCGTGGAGGGCGCCTGCCAAGCTGCTGTGGGTAGCGGATATGTGGCCAGTGATATTGAATCATTCTGTCGCAACAATCGACGAAGTAGCGATGCGAGTGTTGGGGATGAAATTGGGAGCGGAGATGGTTTCAGCAGTAGTGTTGACGTCGATAATGATGCCGTCAACAAAAATGATCTCGGTGGATTTTCAATATCTTGGGACTCTGGCAACAACGACTGGCTTGATGATGATCCATTCTTTTTTGCAAACCTTGGGGGATATTAAATTCACAAAGGGGAAAAGTATTTTCACAAAGGGACAAAGAGGTAAAAACAAATATTGTGGGATGCTTATATACTTTTTAACACTATTAGCTACCTAAGTTACAGGTCGGTAACAAAAAGGAGCTACATGTTTGTTCAGTCAACTAGAGCTTGGTTTATTTTTCAAAATGAATTCTTAAGAATACATTATATTCGGAGATGAGAATCATGTCCTAAACGAACAGAAATTTTATTTATGTTGTCAAGCTTCTGAGATTAGAGAGTTAAGAGATTGATAATTCGTGAACTACGGAAAATGGGAATTATCGTGAATGTCGTAATTGAATGTCGTAATTCCTTTAGCGGCCTTTATGCACCACCCCAAAGTAGTAGAGCCATGTCATGCCTTGCACTACTGAATATGTGCTATCGAGTTGTTTATCTATCTCGCAAGATACGTCAATTCATAATTCACTGATGACAACTTTCCTATGCATAACTTTCCTATTTTTTATTCGGATTGTACTCAAACTTTCACTGACATGTTCCCCTCAATTTTTTGTTTCTGTTAAAAACCGACCTAAAATCCTAAGAGGACTTTCCCTTTAAAGTTCTAACTTTTGAAATAATTGAAAGCCAAAGTTCTTTATTCAATTTTTAGGGGGTGGGGTGAGGTGAATCGAAATGCCCTTAGAACATCAGAATGTCGACCATCCGATGTTTTCTCCGGGCTTCATTTCGTCAATGGGATAGGGTTAGGATTAGAGTTACGACACTGTTATTGCTTCTTCATTTCAAAAATGAAATATCAAAAATACTTCCATAGGCGATTTACAAATTAATAACTTCCATATTATAATAGTACATAAGTCAGAATCATAAATGTGAACAAAAATGGATGAAGGCAAATGGAAATAGTACGGCCTTTTAAACTACACTATGGGTTTTCACTTTTTAAGATGAGCGTGAAGCTTCCCTTTACGTACAGCAATAGTTTGTTCAATTTTCTCAAGGTAAAGCATATCTGCCTGAAAAAGACTGAAAATCAACTTTTTATCAACATTTTTGTTTGTCTGAATAAAGTATTTACCATAAAATATAACTGTGTTAACAAAAATTGTTGCCTGGTTGTAGAGGTACGCTAAAACAGATATCTGTTTAGAAAATTCGATTTGTAAGCAACGAGAACGGTCGGCCTATTTTGAATTAATTATTCGTGATAAAGGTTCCGATTTTGGTACTAAAGCATAAACGATGGTATAGGTTTTTGCTATTTAGCCTAACGTTCCAACTTTTATCATTTGAGAGAGTATTAAATGTGTAAACGTTTTTGGTCTCTCTCTCTCTCTCTCTCTCTCTCTAGCTCTCTCTCTCTCTATCTATATATTTTATTTTTCTTTCTCGTTCATTCCCAGTTCTAAATCGTAAACCAAGTCCAAACTCAATGTCAAGTACACTGCCTTAAGTGCTACCAGTACAAACTTTTGTACTGGTTCAAGTTTAAACGTCCTTGTTTTCACGAAGTGACGGAAAGTTCCAATTTAAAGTGGTCTAGGAGATCGGTTAGTGACGGCACTCGACCGTGGAGCAATAAAAAAAAATGTCGCCGGAAGTAGGTCGGGTCATACATGTACATACCCGGGAAATAGACCATTTTCGTAATGTCAAATATAATGCATACGTCTTCGTGAAGGGCCTCGGTACGAATTATTTCCCTCATCTGTAACGAATAATTGTATTACGAACTACATATTACTTGTTGCCAGGTAGGACAACAATATGGCTTGCCCTATCACACGTAATGCATTTTGCATTCTGGCTATTGGGATACAATAATTATTCATTGCAGGTGAATAATATATTAGTATTGAGGCCCTTTACAATGATGTATTCATTAATTTTGGTTACATTATGAAAATGTTCTATTAGAGAAGACACAGTACATTTGGATGTATATCTATACATGCAAATGACTGTACTGCGTCTTTTGATATTTGCCGGACAAAAGCAATAATTATAGCAAAGTGTATTTGTTTCAAGAACTTGTATAAAGTTTTTATTTTAATATTTAAAACTATTATTGCTTCTTCATTTCAACAAGGAAATAAGAAAAATGGATGAAGGCAAATGGAAATAAGTACGGTCTTTTTAACTACACTATGGGTTTTCATTTTTTAAGATGAACATGAATTTTCCCTTTATGTAAAGCAATATTATTTTCTCAAGGTAAAGCATATCTGCCTGAAAAAGACTGAAAATCAACTTTTTATCAAAATTGTTGTTTGTCTGAATAAAGTATTTACCATAAAATATAACTGTGTTTACAAAAAATGTTTCCTGGTTGTACGCTAAAACAGATATCTGTTTAGAAAGTGGTAAAATAATTCCAAAATTTATTTACAATTATGCAGAAAAATAACATATGTATTAAATTCTGGTTATCCTTCTGGCAAAAATTACATTTAAATTCCCTGAATGTAAATTCGAATAACCCTTCCCATTTTCTTAAATGGTCTGTCTTTTTCCAAACTCAAGGATATTTTGTTCACACATACCAAATAACAACATGTAGTATAGGTTTCTTTGGGGATAACAAAAAATGTACTAAGTTTGTTATCTTCAAAGCTCGGATTATCAATCTCTTTGGGTAAAAACTTTCTTCTAGTTGGCTTGATTGATTAAACAATAGCACTATCATTCATGAACTGAGTTACCCCATTGCCTACTGGAACCGAGGGGCCCCTATATAAAGCCTATGGTAATGAAGGAATTCGGTTGTCAGCGGGTTAAATTCAGTTGATAACCAGGTTGAATTTCTGAAACAAAACTTGTAGCTGTACCATCTTATTTTAAAATATCGTGTATGTATTGACTTCCTGAATCATACCATTTTCTATAAAAATATAATTCTACCGTCTACTTTGATGGCAGAGTTATTCCATACAAGTTGTGACAAAATATCCTTGAATTTAACAGGACTTGTAGTACTTGTAATAAGTTGTAAAGAAACCGTAAGGTAAAATTCGATTTGTAAGCAACAAGAACGGTCGGCCTATTTTGAATTAATTATTCGTGATAAAGGTTCCGATTTTGGTACGAAAGCATAAACGATGGTGTATAGGTTTTTGCTAGTTAGCCTAACGTTCCAACTTTTATCATTTGAGAGAGTTTTAAATGCGTAAGCGTTTTGGGTCTCAGTCTCTCTCTCTCTCTCTCTCTCTCTCTCTAGTTATCTCTCTCTCAATCTCAATCTCTCTCTATCAATATATTATCTTTATCTCTCTCCTTCACTTTTCTCTCTCTTTCATGTTCTAGATCGTAAATCAGTCAAGTACTAACTCAATGTCAAGTACACGCCTTAAGTGCTACCAGTAAAAACTTTAAAACCATATTTATTAGTCACTAAAATCACTTATCACACGAAGGTCATTGATGCACCTACAAAAAAAAGATTTGGTCTGGTAGATTAGAAGTGATCTGTCACGTCGTGAGACGTTGTATATGCTTCGTTGCTGCACAATGCACAAAGACGGTGGTCCGGTACTCTACCAGCAGTACTTGCAAACATTATCTCGAGTGTATGAACTGTGTTCTTATCAGGGGCGTCGCTAGACCCTTTTCAGTGGGGGGGGGGTGTTAGAGGCCACCAATTAACGACAAAACTAGCCAACAATTACCGACAAAAATATTAATGCCAATGTCCCAATGTCTACACATTTAACCCTATAAACCCGGGGCCAGGATCTAAGTTATTTTTAAGCTTTTCCCCTCCCGCGCAAAGCGCGGAAGCTCTGACACTTCCTTAAATTATTAGAGAAAAAAGACGATCCGTTGTACCGTTCTTGTTTCACCCCTCCCACGCGAAGCGCGGAAGCTTTGTCACTTCCTTAAATATGAGAGAAAGAAGACGATCCGCTGCATCGTTCTCGACTCTTAATTCTTGTTTCGTCCCTCCCGTGCGAAGCGCAGAAGCTATGACGTTTCTTTTAATTATTAGAGAAAGAAGACGATTCATTGTACCGTTCTCGACTCTTAATCCTTGTCTGAATTCAGTTCCCCCCCCCCTCCCGTGCGAAGCGCGGAAGCTTTGACGTTTCAATAAATTATTACTCTTGATCCTTGTCTGAATTCATTTTTCGTCCATCCCGCGCGAAGCGCGGAAGCTTTCACGATTCATTAAATCATTAGAGAAAGAAGACGATTCGTTGTATCGTGTCCTTCAGTTTTCCCCTCTCATAGCGCGAGAGCCTCAGTTACTACTACTACTACTACTGTTGTTTCTGCTGCTGCTGATATATACTCAGTGGCACAGGGGGCACGTGCCCCCCCCCCGGCCAAAAAAAATATGTTAAAATCAGCCCTAAATTCGCCCAAAATGTTTTTTTGTATAAATTAAGTTAAAAAATAAAAAATAAAAACAAAAATAAAAATATGCCAAAGGCTTACCTAAAAATCTGACCTTACCCCCCCCCCCCCCCCCCCAACGGATCAAAATGTCAAATTTTTAATTTCGTGACCAAAAAAAAAGTGTCATAATATGATATTATCTCCAGTTAACGCTAATTGCCCTTTCAACTGCATACAAGATTTTTCTTGTGTTTTGAGATCCAACCATAATACGTTATTTGAAAGGGAAAAAAGGAGACTTCCTAAAAAGGGGGCTCTATAACTACTAGTGCGTTCGCTTTGGCAACACATTTATTAAAATTTGAACGATACAGAAAACATAAACTTGGCCCCTATTTAAAGGATATCACTCAATCTTCTTTCCTGAAGAAGAAAAAATATATGAAATTGGAAACCCTGTTGTGGGTGTGGCTTGTGTGACGTACCCTCTCCCATATTAGGGAGTAACGGGGATTATGCATATATTCATATCGGTCATATTTATGCATGATATTGCTATGAGCTGGGTCAAGCTCTTTCACTCTTACTTTGGCAGTCGGTGCTGTTAATGTTATTTCGTCTCTCTTGGCGTCAACTTGTACGAATCTAACCGGGAACTTTTCTAGGTGAATTTTATAATGGCGTCAATTATTCTAGCAATGTTACTACTCGGTATTGCAGCTCAAGTGGAAGGTAAGTAGTTCAATTACGTTTGTATTTTACCAGTAACAAATTAAGTGCGTCTAATTGAGGCCTACTCTGGCAAAAATTGTTGAGTTCATATTTTTTATATAGATAACAGGCTAATTTTTGTAAGCAATAATAGCTCTTTGTCCTGTTCGAATATAATCATTAAACACTCAATTTATTTTAGGAGCGGTAAAGCAAGAAGTCCCATAGCGCTTTCAAATTACAGAATGTGAAGAGAAACATAAAATACACAGAGTCATTAAAAAAATTAGGTGAATCGCAGTAACCTACTGACGGGATAAGTATATGTTTTGAGGGGTATTTTGAAAGAGGAAAGACAGATTAATTTTCTGATTTAACTCGTTGACTACTAAATTGTATAGGTCCTATAGGCTTTAACACAGAGACCACCGCGTTCTCGTTAGCAAAGGGTTAAATAGGGTTACTGTTCCATGTTCTCAAAGCAACCACTGTTAATGGTTTCCAATAGATGATAGTCTGGATTTGAGAATAATTACTTTATATTTGTTAGTTGTATTCTCTCCTGAATATTATTTTTAATTATGCGCAATGTGCAACTTATAAATGTTACATATTAAGATTGTTGATGGTTCTGTTTATTACCCACATACTTTGTTTTTTATTTCAAGTCGTTGCTAAGATTATTTTTGAAATATGAATGTGTTAGCAAAGAAAAAAGATACTAAGCTGGAAGAATTGTTGAATATGCTTACATTTTTAGCATATGTTATGTTTCACTTAATCATTGAGTAATTAATGTAAATATGTATTGAAATTATGGAAATAAAATCCTCGCTTGAGGATAAGAGAAAGAAAATAAAGAAGAAAAAGAAAAATATTTGTTAGTTGTTGAGCGAAGCTTACAAAATAAGCCCCCTCAAAAAAGTTTGGAAACTCAATTTGATTGATCATATCTATCTTGATATGGCATAATCATCGCTATGTTTGGTATCATTAAAAAGTGTGTTTATTAAAATAATACCCCATTTGTTACGATTTTTCAATCATGGAATGTGCATTAAAGATACTATGTCCCTTTTGCAGCCAACATCAAATTCTGTAGAACTTTGCAGGAATTATGAATATGTCATGTATGTCCTATCTGTGAAATTTAAACGTTAGCAGTGTCCTAAGATTAAAATTATGCAAGGAAACCTGTTTACTTGCTAGACTTCACTGTCAGACACTATCGAATGAATGACTGACTGGCCTTTTTTCTTCTTTGATATTAAAGGTACTATGTCCCTTTTGCAGCCAACCTCAAATGCTGTAGAACTTTGCAGGAATTATGAATATGTCCTATCTGTGAAATTTAAACATTAGCAGTGTCCTCATATTCAAATTATGCAAGGAAACCCGTTTACTTGCTAGACTTCACTGTCAGACACTATTGAGTGACTGACTGGCTTTTTCTCTTCTTTGGTATTAACATACATGAAAAGAGTTGTAAAGGGTACATGAGCATTTGTCTACATCAATAACCCACTTCTTGTGATGGCCAAGATTAAACTGATTGAATCTTTGCGCAGCATAAAACGTATGACCGTTCGGTACAATTGTCTGAAAGTCAAGACTATAACTTTTGGGCTCTATAGCCCTAAAGTCGATTTGACAACTAATAGTCGTTATTTTCCCAATTGAAGACATTTTCAAGCCCCACCTTTTTTTAGGGAAGTTCTAAATTAGTATTATCTTTCAAATGCAGTTGGAATTTAACTTTTTCATTTTTTGGGCCTGCAAATGGGACATAGTACCTTTAACATACATAAAATGAGCTGTAAAGGGTATATGAACATTTGGCTACATCAATAACCCACTTCTTGTAATGGCCAAAATTAAACTGATTGAATCTTTGCGCAGCATAAAACGTACGACCATTCGGTACAATGGTCTAAAAATCAGACCATTACTTACTGGCTCTATAGCTCTTAAGTCGATTTGACAACTAATAGGCATTATTTTCCCACTTAAAGACATTTTGAACCCCCCCCCCCTTTTTTTTTTTTTTTTAAGGGAAGTTATAAATTAGTATTATCTTTCAAATGCCGTTGGAATTTAACCTTTTTTATTATTGGGCCTGCAAATGGGACATAGTACCTTTAAATCAAAAGGTCAAAAAGTGAAAAATTGCAAAATGCACTGCTCTTGTTCGGCTGTGCATTCTGTTTTTATTGAAGATTGCGGGCTATGATGTGCAGTGTACTGTATAATAATTATA